TATGGAATGAAGGACGTCATCCTGTCTTTAAAATGGGTCCAAAGGAACATTGAGGCCTTCGGAGGAGATCCCAACAGGGTTGTCGTCATGGGTCACAGTGCAGGAGGAGCTGCGGTTCACGCTTTGACCATGTCACCCTTGAGCGAAGGTTCCTATTTCCCTGTAAATGGCTTTCTTTTGAAAATTAAAGCGAAACGAAAACACGGGAATATTTTTTTTTTTTGCTTGGGGGGTTTTCTCGGTTTTTTTTATATAGGTCTGATCCATGCCGGAATATCAATGAGTGGAACATTAATCACACCTTGGGCGACCCGAACAAACGTGTTTTCGATTGCAAAAATTTTGGCGAAATCTTTGCAGTGCCCTGTTCACAGTTCTGTTGCCATGTTGATTTGCTTGGAGAGAAGAAGTGCCGAGGATCTCATCAAGGGAATGAAAGTTTTTTACGTGAGTTTTCTCTAAAATCCTCAGATTTCAGCACATGGACGCTCCGAACCGTCACTTCAATTCTGCGAACAAAGATTTGTTGATTTTTTTCTTCAAGCTTTACGGTAAGAATCATAAACAATTCAATTTTTTATGATCGAGACGCGAGACAAATAAATATTGAAACATTGTTGATGAAAAAAATCTACGATTCTTCTGCTGCCGCTAAGAATGCTGTACCACTTGTACTCTGGAAAGAAAATAATGCAAAAAAGTTGATTTTATTTGATAAATAGGTCAGTTACTTGACGTATATCTGTCAAGAAAAATTTATAGATATGGTATTGGATATTCGTGTGTGTTTTGAGCTGAACCTGAAAATACAGGTCAAAATATTTTTGAGTTACATGCAATTTTGCTGTGGTTGATCACGACCTTCGGGGAAATAATTTTTCACGTTTCGTTATAGTCAATGGGCATCCGGTTTGCTGCGCCATTCACAATTACTACCGACCCTGAAGCGCAGAACCCATTCTTGCCCGAACACCCACTGAAACTCATAAGTTCCGGGAAAATTAAACAAATTCCTGTTATTTTCGGGGCTCTCCCTGATGAGCAAAAATTTTTCACAATAGGTGAGTGAATCCTTTCAGCACATTCAATTTAGCTGGCAAAAATGACACTGATCCAAAGATTCAGAAATTTTAAAATCACTCCGTTAATAAATTGCACATAATGTCCGAAAACTGTGATATTGGTCCTCGTACGAGTATTGTATATGCCGAATTCTTCAACAAAAAAACCAATATTCACTCAATTATTTACTTCCTGAGAATATTTTTGTTAATAAAAATAAAGCTCTACATTGTGAAAAATATCCAAAAAAATATTACTCGTCAATTTTAAAAATTTATGCGTTCTGAATTTCGTGTGTTGGCAGAAATTGAGCGAAATCTGCGCAACCGGTGATTAATTAATTTTTTGGCATCCTTATTTCCATTGATCTAATTTTGTCTTGAAGGAATGCTTTACGATAAAAGCATTTATCACGATTTGAAGCACAATTGGGATGACAACTGCGGCCAGTTAGCATTTTGGGGATTGAAAAAGTTCCCCCAATTCTGGCCCCCACCGGAAGTAATGAAAAACCTATGCGCAAGAACTAGATGTATTTACTCTGGTGGTGAAATCGACGCTGATGGAACAGCTACAGACATTTTGCAGGTAAATAAGTCGACTGTGATCATTCAATCAAATTTTTAAAATATTTACATTCAGAAGAAAATGGAGAAGGCGAGTTTCCAGTCTTGCAAATAATGCTCTATTCTGTGATGAACAGAGGGTGCTGATTTTCGTCGATGCTTGAAAAAAAAAATATCTGGAGCTTTGACTACTTTTTGAGTAAAACTTATCTGAGAATGTAATCCTTTTAAAAAGAATAACGAGTTATACAGAGGAAAGAAATAGCTCCAAATATTTTTTTTAAAGCCACTCGGATTTTTTTCGGCGTGATTGAATTATTCTGGAAGAGTTGGTAGCCATGTGCAAAAAAAAAACTGAGTTTTGAATTCTGACCCAATATCTTATATTTGTTATTTTGACCAGTCCATCACTAATTTTTTTTTTTTGCAGATGCATCAGGCGCTAAAAATCTTCTTCTGCAACTTTTTCTTTTACAAGGAGTTTGCATTTTATTTGATGAGATTTATTCATTTCTAATTAATTTTTGTCATAGTTTTCGTCAGACCATTCTTTTCGCTTTGGCGCAGTTGCCGCAGCAATTTTGCACTCAAAATGGACTGGAGGGAAGGCATACGTTTACAACTGGGATTACAAAAATCAGAAAGCTTGGAGGCTGGTGGATTTCTGGAATTTAATGTACGCTTTCAGACTACAATTCATTCTGACTTCGTCCAAAGACGTTCGTAAATTCAGGATGACGTCAGGTAAGTTTTATTCTTTCTTTCTTTCAATTTTCCGTCGTCTTTTCCAATCCCTTATCCTCAGAAACATAAAAAAAAATTAGGGTTGATTCCATTTTTTTTTTAATATTTCCTAAAAGGAAATTTAAAAATTAAGATGATTGATGATGATTTTTGTCCTGATTTATTCAGATTCCACGCTCAACACAGATGAGGAATTGGTTTCTGTGGGCCGATTTGGATTTTAATCTTTATAAATAAATAGAATAAATATAATAAATATAAGAATAGAATTCCGGGGATGAAAGGCAAGAGCATATAATTCTGGGAAGTATACTTTTTGCGCATGTCAAATACTGATCATTCAAAGGAGAATTTTACAGGTGATCAAGAACAGAATAAGTATATTTGAGGCGAAAAGTCTATGTTCATCGAGACTAATTTGTGTGCTGGTCATGATACATTTATTATGATTAACAGCAATAAAATATTGGCATAATTTAGACTCGCCTAGTTTTTTCTGCTAACACGATTGCATTTGACGTTTTTGCAGGAAAATCCCACGCGGATGAACAAATATTGCTGCTTGGTGAAGATACGATCACTTACCGAAATGAAAACGATCATGCTGTGCAAAACTTCATCGCGAGATCATTCGCGAGATTTTGCGCAACCGGGTAAAAAAAAAAGACTTTGATCCAGGTCTTTGTGTTATTTTTCTTTTGCAGAAAAATTATTGTACAAAATGTTTGATGATGCAGGAACCCGAGCGTATCGGATTTTTGGTGGCCGAACTTCGAACAAGGCTTTCAAACGCACGTGGTTTTCCAGGTTGAACCCCGAGTCGAATCAAAAATGCTGACAGAAGAGCACCAGAGACTCTTGTCAGATTGGTACGACGCAGAACAACTCAGTTTTCCAGGGATCGAAGAAATTCCGACCTTGTCCCAACTGTTGGGCTTTGACGATGGATATTACGATTATTTCGGCCATTGCGACTAAAGGATTAAGATGCATGAAATACAGTGCACATGCGGACACCTCGACATGAATTTATTTTTCAATAAAAAAAGGGCGTAAAAAGGCCCAACATACGGACACTGACTCGACATGAGGACATTGCATGATAAAATTGCCAATACATTTCACTAAAATTGACTTTTATTTGGCTTGATTGCAAGAAACAGATATTTCCAACCATAAGATTTATGCAAGAAAAATTCTTTTTAATTCCTCCCATCATTTTCCCATCAATTCAGCTGATTAAAAATACCTATTGCATAGAGGGACTTCCTTCTCTCTGTGTGACTTGCATTTTATTTTTGTAGATGCCAGCATTTCAATATACAGTATACAGAAATACACTATTCAATGCTCCAAATATTATTATTGAGCTGTAAATATATTCCCTGAATCAAATTCAAGTGGCAAACAATTTTTTCATGGAATTCTGAAGAATATTTCTTTCATAAATCACCAATTAAAAATTATATAATGTAAGTCTATGGGAAAACAAGACTCAACTTGGGGACACTCTTGATGCACAAATTACGTCCGCATCTGGGGGTCTCACTATATATTTTTTGTTGGCAAGAAAATGGGTGATTTTTGTTGTCATTTTCAGAATCAAAATTTTGTGAAGGTGTTTGTTTTTGCATTGAGAAATGGTGTCAAAGGTTGTGAGTCAATCATGATTGTCACATAGCAGCTACAAAATTAATGCATCACCATTCTTCAATCCTACAAGTTCAATTATTTTAGGTGAATAAATTGATGCAAGTAATTTCTGCTTCATTTTTTTTAAGCTGCTAACGTGCTTGAATATTTGATAATACTGTGTCTTAATTGTGTGGTGACCTAGGAAGGTTTGGCCAATCAACAAATACTGTATTTACTTGAGTACCATGCGCACCTTTTTTCTCAAATTTCAGAAGAAAAAAAGGGGTGCGCGTCATAAGTGGGTACAAATTTTCCAGGAATTTTCAAGAAGTTATGTGTGCATTATATTTAATTATAATGGAGAAATTTGGAACAAATGTAACAAGAAAACTTTTCTGTACTGAAACAGTTGAAAATTGATCCGATTTTTGTTCAATTCATGTCTAAAGTCAAATTCTTTGTTTTTATTTCTGAAATGTTGTGGTTTCAGATTCACTAAAAATTGGGGCGTGTGTCTCACTCAGGGATAAGATTTTAGTAAAATTTCCAACTGAAAAACCTCTGTGTGTGCCTTACTCAAGGGCATGTAGTATTCAAATAAATACAGTAATTATATTTAAGAAACACAGCAATGAAACAATATTTTAAAAATAAAATTCAATTACAATACTCAGGGAAATTTTTGTATAATGGTTCACCTGTTTTGCGTGCTTCAGGTTTCCTTGAAATTATATCGAAATTCCCGCTGAATTTAACAGAATTCAGTTTTTTTTATCCATAATTTTGAATTTTGTTTCTCTTTCAAGCATGTCAAAAGCTTCAGCACTTGTCAAATTTTTTAAAATACGAAAGTGATACTATTTTGAACCTGTGTTGTCGCCTAAACCTGGATTTTCATCGCCCAGAACGTATATATTTCCGTTTACTTCTTTGCGGGTGAGGAGATATTTCTCATGTCAAAACCGAAATCAAAATAACTCGGAAATTTTCTCCATTTATTCATGATCACAAGTATTTAAATTACGTCGAGCCTTTCTCGTCGATCGTGATGTCAATACGAGACTGCTGTATTGAATTTCAGCAGCAAACTGCTGCTTCAGACTAAAGACCCATTAGCTCAGCCAGGGTCGGGATGTTTTCAATGCCAGGGAATGTTTTTTGATGGTTGTCATACCAGTCAACGATCAACCGTTGTTTTTCGGGTGTCACAGCGAACTGACTCAAAACAGGTGGATTTTGAAAGGAAATATGCCTTTGTTCTGTCTCTTCGAACTCCGGCCAGGTGACGTCCGTTGATGTTGGCGTCCTGAAAAAAAAAAGCATGGAATCATTATAATTAAGACATTAAATCTTTTTTATCGGAATGCGTACAGTGTGTTTCCGAAGGAGATGAAGAGGTTCGCAGCCAAATTTTTGACCGATATATCCTCGGGTGTTAACTGCTGAAGCTGCAAAGGGTCGAACAGCAGCAACAAATCGTCTGAATGTGACCGACCTTTGTATAAAGAAAAAAAAATTAAGAACAGTGTGTCAAATTTACAACGGAAAAATCTCAAAACAATTTTTAAAGAAGGCTCCGAAAACTAAAATTTTTTAAGCTAAACTTTGCGCTTTCTTTGCTTTTACAGCTGTCTTTCACTACTTAATAACCTTTTATGCTAATTGCATGTCATGACATGACATGAAATTTTTGAAAAAAAATTTCATAGAATGACAATTTGATTTCGGATGAATAGGATGCGTGTCGATAAGTTATCATGAATATGAAATAGATAAGAAATACTGTCTAAACACCAGCAATTTTCAGACAAGAAGTGAAAAATGCTTTCTTTAAATTAGAAAAATACGAGTATAAAATCCATACAATTAATCTCGCATAAGCGGCCGATATTCGAGATTTTCAATCATAGGCCGCATTTTTAATCGAAGCTTGCGGCCTTTTTTTTTAATAATGTACGATATCTGTAATCAAATTGAACTTTCGATGAAATTCAGTCGTCCCTTCTTCATCCGACAGCCTTATGGAATCTGGACTTTTTTCTCATTTTGCCTTGATGTCACATAAAATTCAAAAAAAGTATTCTCTAAATTTTTAAATATTTTTCCAAGAATTTTTACGGTTTTTCTTAGGCATCTAGGGCATGTTTTCATTGAAACAGTCATTTTCGGCCACCTAAAAAGCACTAAAATAGTTGCTGAACATATACTTAAACCTGTGGAATACGCGATTTAGTCAAGTTTAAAACGTTATATTGCACAATTTAAATTGATTAATCGACAAACAACCCCTTTAAAAATAACGTATGCCTTTTTGGGGGACTGTGGATTTTCGAGAAAACTCACCAGGCTGGAGGCGGAATTTTCTAAACTTTTTCGCAGTCGTGAATACGAACTGCAAATGAAGATCGTAAATTAAATTAAAAATCTACCGAGGCTTTTGATTTTAAAAAATTCGATTTGAAACGCGAAAGAAACGAAAATGTCGACAGAAAGTGATGAATTATTGGAAAATACGATTAACGTACAGTACTGTACTGTACTTTAAAAACTTTTTTTTAATTCATAGAATGACAATTTTATTTCGGATGAGTAGAATGCATGTCGATGAGTTATCATGAATATGAAATAGCTAAGAAATACTGTCTGAAAACCTGCAATTTCCAGACAAGAAGTAAAAAATGCTTTCTTTAAATTAGAAAAATACGAGTATAAAATCCATACAATTAATCTCGCATAAGCGGCCGATATTCGAGATTTTTAATCATAGGCCGCATTTTTAATCGAAGCCTGCGGCCTTTTTTTAAATAATGTACGATATCTGTAATAAAATTGAACTTTCGATGAAATCCAATCGTCCCTTCTTCATCCGACAGCCTTATGGAATCTGGACTTTTTTCTCATTTTGCCTTGATGTCACATAAAATTCAAAAAAGTATTCTCCAAATTTTTAAATATTTTTCCAAGAATTTTTACGACTTTTCTTAGGCATCTAGGGCAAGTTTTCATTGAAACAGTCATTTTCGGCCACCTAAAAAGCACTAAAATAGTTGATGAACATTTAAACCTGTGGAATACGCGATTTAGTCAAGTTTAAAACGTTATACTGCACAATTTAAATCGATCAATGGACAAAAAACCCCTTTAAAAATACCGTATGCCTTTTTGGGGGACTGTGGATTTTCGAGAAAACTCACCAGGCTGGAGGCGGAATTTTCTAAACTTTTTCGCAGTCGTGAATACGAACTGCAAATGAAGATCGTAAATTAAATTAAAAATCTCCACATTGTTCAGTGCTCCTTGATTGACATGATCCCAGGTGTAAAAGTAGGCCTTGTTTCCAGAGTATTTTGAGTGTAGCAGAGCAGCAGCGTACGGAGGGAATTTGAACGACAGGTCTGAGGAAAACTAGGAAAAATATATACATAACTTTAGAAATAATGTTTAAAAATATGCAGATAGTACAGGAAAATAGAAAAATATATTTTTTGAGAATGAAACTTACTTGAATGAGATCGTTTCCGGTGCCATCGGCGTCCATTCTGTCCTTGCCATTTGCATAAAGTTGCCTGGTGCGAATGCAAAGAGCTATTAAACTTTCCGGACTGGGCCAAACTTCCCTGAACCTCAATGACCAGTATGCCAATAGTCCGCAATCATTGTCCCATGTTTCTGTGATTGTCTTGTACATTTGCTCATTATACAGTGCCCCTGAAACCGATGAAAAAAATACTGTTTAATATTTCTGCACACACTCTCTGCTATATCAAGTTTTAGAATGAAACATACATGCGTACTGTTGAGGAGAAAACGAGAGAGGAAACCAATGAAGGTTTCCTCCTCAATCAAAGCTAAAAATAATTTGATTTTAAGAGTCTTAGTCTGTCCTGAACTCTCTAAAAACAATTATTGTTTTATTCCTTTTGATTTGTGTGCATAAATCTATGTTGCTCCTGTGTTATTATTCAAATCTGTCTTGTGCATTGTATTCTTATTCTTTGTATTCAACTCTGCTGAAGATCATAAAATAAATTATTGAAAAACTAGGAACATGTATTCAAGGAAACCCCTTGAATATGTGTTCTTTGCCTTAAAGGATGATTGCCTGCAGTTTTATTTTTATTATTTTGTGATCCTTGATCACACGTGCAATGAATTCTATTGGGAAATCATGCCGTGATGTCATTAATCAAATATTTGTTTGAGTCATTATAAGAGGACAAGGAAATTTTGATGCAGAATTTAAGCAACGATTTTAATTTCCTGTCATTTTTGAGTTTTTTTCTGAAATCACTATATCAAAGGTCATTTTTTGACAAGAAGGTCCCAATAAAAATAATTACTCAGTTAATCAGATTTTATGTGCATCTAATATTAAAATATATAAGAGGAGCCAAATTTGTAGTTCAGAGTTGTATTTATCCATCAGCACTTAAAACAAAATTTTGTTGCAATCACTTTATTTGTGTTGGGCAAGCTTTCCATGCATTAATTATTGAATATAAATTCGTGGAAATCATTAATAATTTCCGCCTCCTCAAAATTGCAGATTCCAGGTGCTTCCTGGCACCTTAGCATCTTCAAATCTCTATTCTCAACCTATTAAAGGTCTTTTCATTCTATAAAAATTGAAACTAACAAAGGTTAAATATCTCTGGATATTTAAGCAGCTGATGCTTGATCATATCATCATCAATTTGTCAGTTGAGTTGTTGTTTAATCAATTTATCCTAGCTGTGAGAAGAGTTTGCTGAGTTGTTCATTCAATTAGTTGTTTGAATTACGGTATACTTTAATTTATAAACTTAAAAATTCCTACATGGAATTCCTGGTCTTGTCCTGGACTGATTGTCGTGTTTTATTATTGCAACACTTGACATCAACTTATATTGTGGCAAAAATCTGTCCCCAATAATTTTGCTCACCCAAACAAACGTTTAGAATATGATTTTGAGAAAATTGCCGAAAATGTTGAAGATTTTATGGGAAAACTCCAGCTGAAAAAAAAACTAATTTTAACTTTCTCTACATGTTCTTACCGTGTTGAAAAAATTTTGTTTCTTCGGGCAGAGCTCCAAAAATCATTGGAATGTTTTCTGCAGCTCGTTGTTGGACTCGTTGCAACGGATGCTGAGGCATGAAGGGTTCTGCAGCTGCAGAATCAATGGCTATTCCAAATGGCATCGCATACCTGATGCCATAATACTGTTTCAAAAGCATGAAAAATGCCTTTCGTAAAGATTTTTTCCTCTTGCAGAAATCAAAATCCCGAAGCAAAAGCTCGCTAATTTCAGTGCTCAAAAACTCACGAAGAAAGTTTTCATGGCCTTGACGACTTCGGCCCCGGACTTTTTGCGCATACATTTCAAAATTGAGTTGGAATCCTCCGGATTGGGGCAGTTCAATTTCTTTGCCATTTCTGTGGCATTCCTCTCGGTTTCACGCCCCAAATGGAAAACATTGATCCACTCATGCAAATCGCAGCATGGTACAAACCTGGAACGAAAATAATTCATTTTAATTATTACGTGAATGTGATTTAATTTTTCAAATTTAAATTTCACGGAATGCGTCTTTCATCCGAATTATTTCGCAGAAAGATTCCGAATCAGATCCAATCTTCAAATTATCAAACTTCGGAAACTTTTGCACTTCGAAATACGAGTATTTGAGCTTATTTTCAACAAAACCCCGTTTTCACACCAGCATGTTTTTTAAATCAATAATTTGTGCTACGCATGTAAGCAAAATCACAGAAAATTTTAGAAATGTGCATGATCTAATGATGTAAAATTACTACTGCATGTAAATTAAATTTTGAGTTATTGATTAAACTTTCCTCGAGTCGTCAAGGCCATTCAAAGTTTTACTGATTTAATTCTTCGTTATACACTGTGATAATTTTATGTTATACCAAATGCTTTGATGTACAAATATTTTGCATAAAAAATGATGTACTAATACTTTTTCAGTCAAATAATGAAACACTCAGCTATCCTTTCTTAGCAACTTAAATGCTTACTCTTTCAATAAAACTGCATTCCAATTCAACCGAAATACAGTAACATGAAAATTGTAATTTTATGATATGCTTATAAGCGACAACCGGATTTTCTGCCGGAAGGGTCAACTAAAATCTAATTGGCAACTTATTCCTGGGTGGTCTTTTAATAGCCATAAAACTTCAAAAAAATCCATGTAGAAACGAATTAGCATTAGAATCTAACATCTTTGGCCGATATTTTGTCAGCTTGAAAAAATCACGAGAAAATTATCGAATCAGTGATTTTTTCTTATCCAAAAATGTTGTAATGTAGGATTTACAGTAATTATGGTAGACCCGGATGCAACAATTCAGAAGAAGACAGCTGCGAGATCCTTTGAAACATTTTGATTAAAATCTCGGGGCAAATCTCCAGCCCAAACCGGAATATCTTCATTTTAATAATAGCAGCTTGTAATTAAAGTACTATATTACGGGTTTTTTCCATGCCCCTTCCGTATATTATTGCTTGTCTTGTAGAAATGTAAATGACCCGTTTCTAATCATAAATAATTCTCATCCCCCTTTTCCATTAGATGGTCGTTCCCAGTAAGAAAAAAAAGAAGAAGCTAAAAATAGAAAATACCAGACAATGATGAGAATTTTATGATGACATTTGAAACGTTTGATAAACACGACAGAAAGCTTTTACATACCTGTGGTAAGCGGCGAAAGTGTCAGGGCATGAGCGGAGACAGCTCCACTGCTTTGACCTAAAAGAGTGACCTTGTTCGGGTCACCTCCGAATTTTCGGATGTTCCGCTGAACCCAATACAAAGCAGCAACCATGTCCTTGGCCCCGTAATTCCCAGGTATCACTGCATCATCGGTGGTCATGAACCCTTCGAAAGTAAAGCAGGAAAAAATTCAGTATTTAACGCATAATAACTTTTACGAGTCACGTACATGACACAAAGAAAAAGAAAAAGAAAAATATGGTGACATTTTTCCACGAATCTAAAGGCATTATTCCGTATATAGTAGTATATATTTTTGTTATCAAAATGAATTGATATTTTGCCGTGGTCGTCTTCACAGCCTTTCATTTCATGTACGACTGAAGGTATAAAAATGTGATGACCATCGAATTTTTCTGCGCAAATTTTCTGTCATTTTCACCCACATTATTTTAATTCGCGTGGGATTTATTGCGGGTCAGGTTTAACAACGCCACACGCAAATTTCCGCAGCCAAAAGAGTATAGTAAACTTGAAAGAAATTTGACTTCATGCGTAAAATCCTTTTTACAAAGTCACACAAAAAACTTCAGAAATTTGAGAGGAAAAATACACGAAAATAAACAAATTTTTTATTCTGTTCATGCATGAATTTTCTCTCAGATTCAAGTAGATCGTCTCATTTCTGATTTTTAAAAACAGTCTTTCGAACTTTGAAATGCTTGATTTTTGATTGTGTGTAATATTTCAACCTTCAAGAAATAGTTTTCTTCATTTCATATACACACTCGTCAAAATCTTGAGTATATGATGTAGTATTTCCTTCAGTTTGGTCTAAAACCCGAATGTTTCAGGTGTACACGCAGTTTTTGTAATTAGAAGATTAAAGTGCTCCTTCTTTTCGAAAAAAAAAATTTAAGATTATTCAACCTGAATATTTAATGAATATTTTACCATTGGAATCCCTGGATTTTCATCCTCCAGCAAAATTTGCAGTCATCAGCAGAGGCACTTGAATTCGTATTTATAGAAAATAAATTGGATTTTAATTTATCAAGAATGCTCACCCAAAGGCCCAAGTCTGTAATTGAAGCTGACAAAAATGACTCCTCTGTCAATGAATGTTCCTGGCAAGTAAAGGGTCCTTTGCAGCTCCGAACCCGAATAGAAACTTCCGCCATGTACCCAGAATATTACAGGAACCAATCCTTCCGAGTTTGCCAATTCTGAAGACTTGAATTTAAAAAAAAAAATGTTTAATTGTAAATATATTCTGATTTAGGAATATATATATTCTTAGGACATATTATTCTCACCCCCGGTGTGAAAACGTTGATGTAAAGGCAATCTTCTTCTCCAAGCGTGATCCAAAAGAGATAAGTCAAGCATGGATTGTTGAAGTTGGTTGCCAATCGCACTCCCCACCAGTAGGGCACTGGTTGTGGTGACTTGAAAATTACATGAACCATTATTCAGGTGGTGTCCTGCAATTCAACCCTAATCCTTTGCTGCTGGGTAAGGGTCAAATTGCAAAGCAGTCAAGTTGTGATACAGTGTCAAATTTGATGCTTTCTATATACATCAACTTTGACATTTTGAGTCTCTCCTGCAGGTTGGACAAGAGGACAAATTGCAAGTTGATGTCCAAGCAAATTTGACCATTGAATTGTGGGATGGTTGAATTGTGGGACATTAAATTGCAAGGTATGACCTGCACAGTTGAACCTTGAGAAGTCAAACCTCCATAAGTTGAATACCTCACAAAGTCAATATTTTTTGTCAAATCCCTGTCTGAATTTCCTTAGAAACAATGTATTAAAAACCTCTCTAAGTTGAATGCTTTTCCTCTCAAACCTTTCTAACTCAAATTTTCTGAGGCCTGTTGGCTATTATTCTCTTGACTCAGGAAAGAGAAAATCAATACAAAATTGAATGATGTATTTTGTAAGGAAGGCAAAGACTTATTGGGCGAATGAACCCTTGCATCCAAGTTCAGCATCTTGTCAACTCATTCAAGAAGCAATTGAAGACCCAGAATATTACAAATTACAATCCTGGAAATTCTTCCATCCTTCCCACAGCAAAAATGCTTGTTTCCCTACCTGAAAACCACCCCATCTCAAAACCTCACTAAGTCAAGACCTCCCTAAGTTGATTTTATTGTGGTCACTTGAAATTTGACTTAGGCAGACTTGACTGTATTCATATTAATAAACAGTAGAACAGGTGTTACCTTGCAATTCAACCCTTGCCCTGCAATTCAACCTGCTTTGGCCACTTTTTTGCATTTTTAAACTTATATTTTTAAATTTCACGGAGTGTCTCGCAATTTGACCCTAGTCTAGCAATGTATTAGGTTAAAATTGCAAGGTACCACATGTACCCTGGATAATTTTGGCCTCATTGCAAACAAATTTACTTTTTGCACAATATATACACTGCCAAAGCTGCCACCTACATGTTTTTGCTTTGCTTTGTGGACCCCAATTTTAATAATAAATAGCATAAGGGAATTGGATTGTCAAATTATCAAAATATTCCAGTTGGTATGGAACATTTTTGGCTGGCATACTCATTTTTCAAATGAAAAGATTCTCTGATATTCTCTGTTGCTGCAACAAACCTACTTTTATTTTATTTTTTCTATTTTTTTCTAAATATAAAAACTTGTACTTTGCTTGGGACTTGCATGAGGAAGAAGGATTCCAATAAATTATATGCTTAGAACTTCATAATCTTGTGTGAAAATGCAGCTAGAAATTCAGTAGAATCTCTCAACAGATATCATTACAACAAATTAATGATTACAACCATTTTTGTCCCTGTCCAATATAGTCACAATATAATTTTGGTTATGGTTGGACAAATTTTTCTTTATAACAAACCGTTTTTAGGTCCAAAATGCTTTGTTATAACAAGATTCCTCCCCATCAAATAATTTGGCACAGCAAAATGCATGGAAAATGCGTCCTACAGATGGAACTACTGATCTGTAGTTCCATCATGGACCGAAATTCAAGATGCTGTTTCAAATTTGTGCTGAGTGGAATTTGAAAATTGCGACACAAAATTCCTTGAAACCTTAATCAGCAAAGCGTGATTATTTTTCGATTTGCAATCAACTTACCCTTACCTCAATGTTAGATAAGCTGTCTGAGAGAGCGAACGATTGTTTTTTTTTTCACAGACCGAAATAAAATCAGGTTCTTGTGCAAAATAAGCCTTTTGATCGCCGATTTTCAGACTTTATCCTCGATAAATCATTGGGTATAAAATTGTGCTGTTACCGATTTGCTCGAATACGTGACATATTTACATAAGACCCAATACTCTATTTTAACCCTCTGAAAGAAGACAATAATCATTTTTGCTCAAGTTTTTCCAGCAGTCGAATCACTTATTGTACCTCATCTCGGGACAGAAACCCCGATATTTCCAGTACTTACATTTCCTCAAATAATGAATATTTCGAAACAGCCAATCTCGCATAAATAATACTCACTTCAAATCGAAGTTTTCCTACAGGTGGCTGAGCAAATGGAATGCCTCTGAATGATCGATAAAATCGGTTCTCTGGACTCCATTCCTGCTTCCCAAGCACTGGTCCTTCAGTTGTGTGCACCAAGAGATTCGGGAATACCAGACTCGTCAAATTTGGCAGAAAGTTGAGGGAAGTGAATATCGACTGAGCTTCGGCAGTGCCCGTTTGATTCTCGATGCCGGTCATCAGCAAAAATGCCAAAACGAGAATGAGCGAGAAAAAACGCGCTGATGAATCCGTCCATGTCCGCGAGGTTGAAGGAAGAGCTGATGAGGCTCTTTGACAAGTGACGTTTAATTTAGCCATCTTTAATGAATCACTGATTTCACGGTTTGAAGATTATTCCCGTCATTGTTTGCCAATCATCACACATCCACCTTCAGTTCCTGTGAGTTATTTTGAGACCTTCGACATTGCAATCCCCAGGCCACTGAATATTGACAAAGAAAGCAGAAAATAAATACGAGTGATTTTAGAGTACCATATTCATCAGTGCTAAACATTAATTGCATTAATTTTGGCTTAGAATAGATACATTAGGCTTAGTTTTTTGGCTCGCTTCTTTAATTTTGCTACATTATTTCATTCTAGTGTGCTGGTTAGTCTAAAAGCACTATTGACACATTTTTTCGAGTGTCAGCAGTCAGATGCAGTTTTTTTTAATGGTGCAAAGGTATACAGGTGGTACCTTGCAATTTGACCCTAATACATTGTCAAACTAGGGTTGAATTGCAGGTCAGTCAAATTGCGAGACATTCCATAAAATTCAAAATAGAAGTTCAAAAACACAAAAATAGAAAAAGCAGGTTGAATTGTGGGGCAAGGGTCAAATTGCAAGTCAACCTCTCTGCAAATTTGACCATCAAAATGCAGGACAGTCAAATTGCAGGAGGTCAAATTGCGAGGTACCACCTATATAGGTTTGTGAACCCTTTTTTGGCTTTTCACTCATATACAGTACTATACTATGACACACATTTTTTCTCATGTAACTGCAGTGAAACTCTGGATAATTGAAAATTAAAATAATGTAATTGTGAGTAGAAAAAATTGTTACACCAAAAAAATCATTGTAGGCAAGATTGTTGTAAAGGAAGAGTCTACCTGTACATTCTAGATACAATTTAAATATGTTGAACCTCTCCAAGTCAAATTTTAAGGGACCAGCAACAAATTTAACTTGGGGAATTTTTGACTTATAGGGCGGTTTTGAGTTAGGGAAGCAAGCATTTTTGTTCTGGGAAACAGAAGAATTGCAGAAAATTTTGAATGGTGATATTCTGGACCTTGAATTTCTTCTTAAGTGAGTTGACAGGAGGCTGGACTTGGAGACAGAGGCTCATTTGACCAATTATTATTTTACTTCCTTTCAATAATACACCAATACATTTTTTCATTGCTTTTATCTTTCCTACATCATAAGAAAATGATAACCAAAAGGCCTCAGAAAATTCAATTTACTGAGGTTTGGGAGGAAATGTCTCCAAGTTTGAGAGGTTTTTAATTCATTTGTTTCTGAGGCATTTAAGACATATATGGACTTGAATAAAAACAAATTGACTGACAGAGGTTTGAGTTCTTGGGGTTTCAATAATGTGCACCTTTATAAATATATACTGTATTTACGTGAGTACCACGCGCCCTTGAGTAAGGCACACATAGGGGTTTTTCAGTTGGAAATTTGGCTATAATCTTATCCCTGAGTAAGACACGCACCCCAATTTCTAGTGAATTTAAAACCACAAAATTTTGAAAATAAATGCAAAAATCGACTGTAGACATGAACTGAACAAAAATCTGGTCAATTTTCACTTTTTCTGAACAAAAAAGTTTCCTTGTTACATTTTTTTCCAAATGTCTCCATTATAATTAAGTATAATGCACACATAACTTCCTAAAACTTCTTGAAAAAATGTGTACCCGCTTATGACAGGTACCCCTTTTTTCTTCTGAAATCTGAGAGAAAGGTGCACTTGGTACCAAAGTAAATATGGTAATACACAGCTGATTCTGAAAAATCACTCACCAAAGACGATATAAGATGGACAAACACTGTTGAAAGAATGAGTCCAAGATTTCTTTCCCGAGGCCGATGGAAAAGCTCTCAATGAGAAACCGGGGCTTCCTCTATGCTGGCGGCAATACGCTGTCGTTGACCTAAATCTTCCGACTCGTTGGCTTCCTTTTGGATATACTGTATGTTGCCTCCAGCATGTAAATGATGATTCGCTTTCCCTTTTTTTCTTCCGTCGGAAAATTCACTTCTCTTACCTGGTTTTTATACTGGTATTACGTAAAGAACGACGAAGCTATGCTCAGTTTTCGGACTGTATTTCGCTTTGTTTATCATCGGGCCACTGATGGTGATGGGATCTGGGTTAATTATTTTTCAAGCGCGGGAAAAATGCTTCGAAAGTGAAGTGATGAAGGCTTTTATTCGTAGATTGCTGCTTTATTTCGCCCCGTTTTTTATTTTAAACATACTGTAGTGTATTTTGTTGGGATTTGAACTTCATTTAGTCTTGTTTATTTTCTTTCGATCTTCGGCGGCTCCCATGAAAAATTTCAAGTTGAATCGGCAAAAATTCGACCCAGTTCGAAGCGTTCATCACATACACGACCTTAGAAATTTTCGAATGCATTGAAAAAAATTTTAAGTACGCACTACAAAAATTGAAATAAGGACTATCGGTTTCTCAGTAATACAGTATATCTATATGCACAAGATTTATATTGTGAGTTTGTGACACGGAGTAGGTTGGATCGATTTACACAAAATAACGGCAAAAAAACTTTTATTGTTAGTTGAAAAAATAAACCAAGTTAGAATTGAAAACTGACTGCGCAAAATAAAAGTTCGATGCGATAAGAGTCTCGTACTGTACTTCCATAATATGTGATATATTTTACTTTTCAAGACCAATGAAATGCATAAACATTTGAATATATCAATAAAATAATAGGATCACTTCTGTTTTCACGATTCAACTTCAAGGATTAAATACGAGAAAGTGAGAAAAGCACGGGGGTCTCAACTCTCAAGTACTGCATCAGAAAGTTCACTGAAATTCTGTCTAGTATTATTTAATGCACTAAAGAGGCATCAAGTTACAATATTATTTTTCATGACATAAGAATATTATTATGAAATTTGAAGTACAGTACCTAGAATATTTTTTCTATATGATACGTATTTCGTGAAATGAACCCTTTTCTAAATGATTTGTTGAATGTGATTCACGTACAGTACATTTATATAAATAAATATTAATAAATTTACGACAATAATGACGGCAGTTAAAGGTTAGACCTCTCTTCACCAAAGATACAGTTTTCTTTTAATGTATTGTAAATTAATTAATTGGTCAAAATTGCATCAAAACATGTTTTCCCGGCTTAATCAATGTTCCTTGAATCGTTTCTCTCTGCTGCACTGAAAGTTCAAATAAATATAGCTGTAATTTTCATATATTTTGTAAAACGTTTTTGCAAACCCCAATCAACATTGCCCAAGTCCCAAAAATTATTTTGATATTTGCGCTTCGACCTTATTCTCAGAGAAAAACCGCGACGAAAACTTTTTTGAGATACATTATTCAAAAACGTTTTGACGCCGAACCAAAAAATGAATTGGATGACTTGCGGGTCAAAAAATTGTTTGTCAAATAACACGGAAATCAATCAAGACTTGGAATCCTTGATCCAACACTCAATTTTTTCACCAACAGGTTTGAAAAACCTCAGTCTGCCGTATTTACAATACGCACGTAATTTCCAACAGACTCCGCACGAAAAGTCAGGAGGAAAATAAATGCCAGCACGTGCAGCATTATGTTATGACAGTTCGCTGTACTCTCTGTCTCCTTGCACCGGGAAGAATTAGTTCAGTTGATAGGAGTTCGAGGAAAAATACAAGATCTTCACGTCTTCATTTTTTTTCACTGGCTTTAACAACTTTTAACGATGTACAGCGTCGTTAAATACGAAGTATACTGAGCTGTGCGTAAAGACCTTCATGCGTTTTAGTTGTGTTTTACTTGATGCTCAGCCGTGAGAATGCCTTCAACAAATTGTGTTTTCTTCCAATTAAATCAGTTTGTTTTTGTTTATCTCTTTGAGCGATGAAATTTTTTTTTCAAAGAATCTAACTGAAGAGCGATCCGGCAAAATTATTTCTTACGTCATATTTTACGTGAAGTATATGTTTGGCAGATTTTATTCTGTGAAAATAACTGCTATAAACGCTGGCTTTATTCATTATTAAATAAGCTTATATTTACACAAATTTTGCAAGTAAATACTGTATTCACGGTACAACGTGTATTTTTCTATTATATAAGCAAAACCTTTTTTAGTTTTTCGTCAGAACTGTTTTTCGAAAGAAGCTTTGCCTGGAAAAAATGTTGATGCAGTCGCGATTTTTTATGGTCGTGTATAAACTGCATGAACTCACTTCTGAAGTCAGGCCTAACAATGAAGATATTTGGTAATTATTTCATTTTCGATAATAAATTAATATTTTTGGCTCCTGGCGCGATAATATTCTGTAAATTATGATCTTCAGACCCAGAAATTGAAGTCATTTCAATTTTCCTACGATTTTTTTTAAATCTTACTTATGTACAAACTTACCTTTGAACAAAATATAACTGTTCCCATTACAATTTCCTTATTGAGAAGCTACGATAAAATGGGAAGGTGAAAAATGAGCCATCAGCAGAGATCAAAGATTATAGATTAGAACTTTTACATTTATATTAAATCTCGATCGAATTAATTTTCAGGTAGGATATTAAATACATTTTTTAAAGGAAGATATCCAATAAATTTTTTGGGTTTGTAAGCAAAACTCTAATATTTCGCTTAATAAATTCCTGTATCATGAAGTTGTCAGAGAAGAAGATAGACAACTTGTTATTGGTTATCTGTAGCTACGTTTCCTATTTAGTTGAAAAATAAAACTATTGATGGGATTCGATGATTTTGACCTGATCGATAAACGAATGTTGTGGGTGTCAATATATCAGTGTTCAGCAGAACTCGTGATCAATTTTGAAATTGATTTTTCTTTTTAAAAAAACAAGGTAAAGGAATAACGGTTATTTCTTATTCTGATCTTCTCGCCAAGAAGACGACGATTTTACAGTTGAATGGACATCCTGATCCCAAAATATAGACATCATGGTCTCCCAACAATTTCTTCCACAAAAAGAAAAAGTTGTATTGCTCTCAAAAATATGTGAAGAACAGTACAGTACTTCTGTGAATACGCGTACAGTATATTTATTTAGTTTAGAATGCGTGTGCTTAATATTCACGAACTGCATTTAGATCCGCTATAATACTCATGAAAACCACAAACATAAAGTCTTGTTGCAATGAAAAAACCCTTGAAACACAAATTCGGTACCTGTTTGACAATTATGGGCTTTGCCTGCTCAAAAAGAGTTTTTTCAATGAATATAATCTTTTTCAGTAAAAATGTATACCATATGTACGAGCGAGTGTGTGTATGCACAATAGCTTGCATCCTCGAGCAAGTTATTTGATTCAGGCTTGTGTCTATGCTTTTTTCTTATTTATTATCACATGCCATTCATGTATATGCATTGTTAACTCGGATAATGGACGTCTGCCACCAAATGCTTCAGCTACTATTATAGATAGAAAATTCTTCATTGATCTTCACATAAATCAAATTTGCGATCGTGAATTTGGTATAGCCGAAATTATTTTCAAATACAAAAGCTTACTTTGATTGTTGATCGTGTTTTTATTAAGCAATATTTTCCTCTTGACTTGTATTTTATTTAAGGCATTTTGTGTTAACTCATCATGAATTATATTTATTAAGAATTTTCTGTACGGGTTTGGAAATTAAAATTCCAAAGAATCTGGATAAAATATGTATTTCGGATAGCTTATTTGTGCAATTATATTTTCTATTACAACTGAATCAAGAGTTAATCGATGCACCCTTGTACATTGCCCTTCAGCATGTACCAGCTTCGTTGACGCGGATTATCATATCATATGAGCTAGCGCAGTACCTTTTCTTCAACGCATCGATTTTCTTCAATAAGAACCTGAAACCCCATTATCCACAAATAATCTAGATGAGAACAAAACTAGAAGATTCATGCGCGAATAATTTATCCGGGAGTTATACGAAATCTTGTATATTAATGCTCAATCAAAGGATTGAATCAGTAATAGTGTTGGTCCTGCTGATCAAAATCAAAAGAAAATGGTCCGGATAACTCACAATGAAACCCCATGAAAAATGCGGTTAGCAGGTTGTAGTAGCGACATCTATGAATAAAACAACGAAAATTTAATATCAGCTCATTTGCCCAACTTGTAAAATGCCGGGAATACAGAGGCATTTCATGAACCCATCGCTAATTTAGCGGTCGTGCTTCTCGGAATGGATGAAGATCGTTGTGTGTGCCTTTGAAGGATTATACGTGTTGAATGCGAAGCTGTGAGCCGCGATTGTCTTCGCATCGCGCCGTTTTTGGTGTGATGCGTATACTGGATTTCACTACGTTGAAGCTGTGGAGATGAATTTGATCGTCTGATCCATTATGTATGCGACGCACAGATCTCGTCCTATACTGTATATGTGACTGTGTTATTGAAGAAAGGATCATCTCTAGTGGTGGTTCTGTGTGTAGCGCTTTGTTGCTTGAACGGAAGGCTTTTCGCTGCTTCTAAAGATCGTATTCGAGTTTCGATTTCGTACAAAAAACTCCAACTTTTCATGATGACTTCAACCCCTGGGTCGCCGAAACTGCAGCCGCAGTTCTCGTATGTAGAAAATTACGTGTTACGCCGAAAATATACTGCTTTATGGCCAATTTTATCGTTAGGCTACTCCCAAAAATATTGAACGGAGGCATTGCAGGAATCATCGGAGTTTCTTGTGTTTTTCCCCTGGATCTCGTGAAGACCCGGTTACAGAATCAGCAGGTTGGCCCGAAAGGAGAAAAGATGTACAACTCCATGTGAGTGCATGTTACTGTTCCATTTAACCATTTGGCAATAATGAGCGTGCATATTCTCTTTGAACTAGTGCTGATTGCTTTAAGAAGACTGCGAAGGCGGAAGGCTTTTCCGGCATGTACAGGGGTACGTTCTTTATGTTCAGCATTTGCCAACTATGTCAAGTAATGGATGTGTATCTTTAGGTTGCGCTGTAAATGTGCTTTTTATTACCCCGGAAAAGGCAATCAAGCTTACTGCTAACGACTTCTTCCGTCATCAATTGCGCACAAAAGATGGGTAAGTCAGTCGAATGTGTTGTCCTCCGTGAGATTATCTTAATTGAGTATCTTCAGGAGGCTTCCTTTGTTTCGTGAAATGATGGCCGGTGGGGGTGCGGGTTTGTGTCAAATCGTTGTCACAACACCTATGGAGCTCTTGAAAATTCAGCTTCAGGACGCTGGTCGAAGTACGAAGGGCCAGGGCGCCGTTCGTGCATCAGCCTTACAGATTGCTACTAGCCTTGTGAAGTCAAAGGGAATATCTGGCCTATACAAGGGTACTCTAGCGACAGCTTTGCGAGATGTATCTTTTTCTATCGTGTATTTCCCCCTGTTCGCAAATTTGAATGCTTTGGGTCCTCGGAAGCAAGGTTCAAGTGAGTTCGTATTCTTTATACTTTCTAAGCAATCAGTTGGACTGTTTCGTGGTTCATAGATGAGGCTGTGTTTTGGTGCTCGTTTTTGTCCGGATGTCTTTCTGGGTGCATATCTTCAATTCTTGTGACGCCGTTTGATGTTGTGAAGACGAGGTTGCAGTTGCTGAGGAAAGGGATTGGGGAAACGTCATATACCGGTGTGCCTGATGCTTTCAGGTTTGTTGAATGGCTCGCTCAGTCGCAAATGTGGAAGTCATTTTTTGATTTGCTTGTTATATTCCTTTTTTAGGCGAATTTGGCAAAACGAAGGACCCCGCGCATTTTTCAAGGGAGGTGCGAGCAGAGCACTCGTTATCGCTCCTCTGTTCGGTATTGCACAAGTGGTGTATTTCTTGGGTGTCGCCGAGTACTGCCTCGGATTGGAGTGCTAAGAAGCATCCGTTTTTTGAAGGACTAGTGGATTGAGCGTTTTCTAATAAATTGCGCCCAAATACGTGCAGTCATTGAAGTATGTGCAATATTGTTGACAATTTTGTTCGACATTCATTAGATTGGCCCGCTTTTTTTGTTTTTAGTGTAGGATGTTGACCGTGGTGAAACGCACTTGTCGGTTTTGTTTTATGATCATCGTTCAGAATGAATTCAATGATCATTTCAATTTTTCTGATGACTTCCGAGATGACATATTAGGCTTCGTGAAGCTGCGTTGTAATCGGGCTTTCTAAATCAACTATGACTACAGGATATCGTTGGAGAGTTGGAAAGTTAAGCTCGATGTGATTTGCCTCACTCTTCGCGAGGTAGATTTCATGATGTAATCGATGAGTGAGAATCTCTTCCGTCGATTTCGAAAGAGTAACGGAAGAAGCTTCCGTTGAACAGAAGTGTGCAAAATTTGAATTTTCCTGTTCCGTAATGAAAGAGAGTCTAGATCCTTACTTTTTATTTTAGTGTGCATTTGTTTGTATATTTCTAGTCCTTTTTGAAGAAGGCCATTCATTCTTTTCCATTTTAACCTGCAGGAAATCAATGATCTTAACTGTTTGTGCGCGTGATCAGCTGAAGATCAGATTGATCTGCAATGGCAGCCGGGAAGCACTTGACGGAGACCGGCTCTAATCAAGAGCTTCAGGCTGGATTCGATTGTGATGAAATGGATATGAGTAAATCAGTCGCGGAAGACCGACCGTCGGTATCTGTGGAAGAAATAAGTAAGTCAAGCCATAAAGCATGCCCTAAGTACGGATATATAATACGATCTACTTTATTCCGTCACAACGCAGCGATCCTGGCTTATCGAGACATGCTGCAGGCCATGGCGTACCCGTATGGGATCCTAACGTTGAAACAGGTGAAACTTGCAAAAACATTCGGAAAGCTTTTGCGTATTCCAGAAGCTCGACAGAAGTTGGAAATGCGTGCTGTATATGTCAGCCTGGAAAGCAAAAGGTTTGTTCCTGTTCATTACTTTGCGTATTTCTAGGAGATCTAGTGGCGCGTCGTGCTTAGAATTGAACGAATTCTTACTTCACTCGTCCTTTTGCTCGTGATCTTTCATCTTATACCGCGACTTGAAAACTGAATTACGGCTAGAAAAATGATTTGTGGATGCTGAAACTGTAGCTTCATGTTTCAAGTGTATCAGCATCTTGACGAAGTGAAAACACCGTATGATGCAATAATATTGCAATATAGTAAAGTCCTAATTCTAATTTTTGCTGCATGATCTTGAGGAGGAATTGCTGTTATTTGCTCGAGCTTTTTCTTCTCGCCTCGAACAGGAACAATTCATTTTTAGGACAGTAATCTGAATTATAATGTATGAATACTGTTTCGGACTTCCTAAAAACCGAATGGCAAAATGATAGTGTACAGGGGCGCATTTCATGTTCTAAATCATACTTCATTGACCCGAAAATTTAGGCAGATCTCGAATTGTTGTTTTTTGTATGGTGATACATTGTTAGATGGCGTGTTACTGTATATTAGCCTTTGCGTTAATTTTGCATCTGCGCTGAGCCTTCTTCTTGCGTATGGCTTTAATCGGGCGATTTTTGAAGAAAATCCTGCTGGAGGCTTTTTTTAAAGTTCCTTTTCGTGGGGAAAGCGTTATAGTATTTATTCAATTGCAGAGATTTCAAACGTGCAACCGAAGAGCTTAGTGTTCAAGAAGGAACATCGTCGAGTCCCGTGACAGAAATTGTTCGCCGCACTGGCAATAAAATAAAGAAGCGGAAAGAGAAAAGACCTCGACGGACGGCACTGGAATTGTCCGTTCCGTCGGCGGCGGCTTCCGCCTCACCGTGCCTGCATTCCCTGGCCGACGTCGGATCCGTGGTGCCGCCGTTTCTGCGTCCTACACCTGTCACGCAGCTCGAAGCTACCGTGGAGCGCGTCGTGGAGATCTACAGAGGAAAGATTCGCGCCCTGTGGCGAGACCAAGGGAGCCATCGCCATCGTCGGTTGGCTCGCAACGCCGAAATTTCTGCGTAATTCAGCCATCGCAGCTTTGTCTGTTTTTTTTTTTTTTTTTTTTTAGCGAAGTATCTCGGCACAGATGTTTCGTAACATCTGGAAGCAGTTGATGTGACTGCCGGCGCTGTGCCCGTTGATCTTGTTTTCACATTTGAACGAGGTCCGTTTTTTTTCTATGGATCAAAGTAAAATTCTTCGAAGTGATTCTCAGAACGGATCAAATCTTGTATCATTTGGAAGTCGTCTAAATCTAAATGGTCATCGCTGATGCAGCGATGGCGCACTTAATCGAAGAGTTTTGTCGATCAGTATTGTAGCTTTCGAAAATGCCGTAGTACACTTATGCGTCGTTACGATCCTTCAGAAAATGAGGAAACGCATACTCAATGTGTAGACTGCGTAAAAAGTTTCCCCGTCATTAGGTAAATGCAGTATTTACGCGAATGTAAGACACTTCTCAATTTTTATTCCTGATAAATGATCTTGTATGTTACATTCGGGTGTCCTGAAACAGTTGATCCTGTGGTCCGAGCATGTGAACATCTCGAATAATTCCTGATCAATTTTATCATGGAATATCTCATTGCCGCTGAGAATAATTCTATTAAGGTACCGTACTTTATGTGAATGAATTCTGAAAACTGAGGATCGTAAGGAATTATTAACTTTTTTCTCGGGGTATTTTTCCCAAGATAAAATATTGTAATCGAGGTTCAGTTCGTATTGAAGAAAGTTGAGCTGAGTTTTTATTTTCAGTTTTATGCATCGTGCTTGAGAAGATATTATGAAAATTTGGTATACTTTTTGGTCCACGACTCACCATACAGTTTTTGGCATATTGTTAAGCAAGTGATCGTGCTTCTTGGATTCGCCCAAAAGTTTGTATTTAAACTGAGGGGCTGAGATATGTACCGTAGGTGAAACTTGAAATTTATGAAGTATCGTATTCGCGTAAATACTGTACCTTGAATTTTACTGTTTTCCCACCCTGTTGAGTGGTCCTCTTACTCTGAAGTTGAAATTTTGAATTATGGGAGGGAATACTCCTACCGTTAAACGGATGTCTTCCACGTTTTTCTTCGTGAATTCCGTTCGGTACATATAAATCTTGAGTAGGTCTAATCATGGGCGGTTCCGGTCTTTTTTTGATTGTGTGAAATCCACGGTTTATTGTTTACGGTGAGCCTTTGATTGCGATGCGCACAGGTTTTCGAATGGCTTTGTCAAGCCCCCATCTCTTCAATATTGAGCGTCTATGGGGAGGGAGCTAAATTTTTTTATGACGGAGGTGTTCAAGGAGTGGAATGTGTACATCTGGAAGTTAACCTGGGAGTATAATGAATCTGAGGAATGTTGGATAAGTTTTTGTTGTTCGTCACGAACAGAATTATTATTTTTTCGATCGTTTTTCATGAGTACCCCTTTGTCTTTGCAGCTGACTGGAAGAAAAATGAAAAGTGAGAGTTTACGGATGATGGACGCGCTTGCGATGCGCGCGCTCTATTTGATGAATGAGATCATTGTGGAACGCGGAGTCGTTGAAGATTCGCTGAAAAATGGTTTTATCGAAATGGCGCAAGCCAGGTACGTGATGGGGAGTCGTTCCGTTTCTTCACTCAAATTCCCATCGGAAATGGTTGCATCGTGTGTGGTGGAATCAGAGGTGAGCATTCGATCATTGTAGCCTAGACCTAGAGTTTTCAGGTTCGATTAAGCATCTAATATTGACAGTTTTACCGTGATCATCTCCAGCTCAGGATTCTCAACTTCTCAAGGAATGATGCATTGCCCGCCTGTGAAGTTTCGATTCTATTACGCGGAATTTCAGCAATCATTGACGTTAAAATTGAGTGGGTGTTAAAAGTTCACTGTCAAATTTCTCCTTTAACTGCAGTTACAGTGCTGTACTGTATATCCTTTTTAAAATATGGTTGTTGCGGTACGCGATTAATGTCGTCACTACTGTACATGTAGTGTACTTTCAAGGGATACTATTTGTTAAAGCCATTATAAATTCTGCGTGCGAATTTGAGACGCTCCGAGATTTCCGAGCCAATTTTTGCAATTGAACGGACTTTCATCTTTGATCGAATACAATATTGAAGCTGATGGTTTTTTCATTTGATTCTCGATTACTGTATGTGTACTTCCTAAAAGAAATTACTTATGAAATCCCGGAGGAAAAGCGTCAAATTTAACCAATTTTTTCCTCAGCCCGAATGCTTATGAGAGCATGTTTCCTGAAGGTTAACGAACTTTTCACCGAACCGACATATTAATCATTATTCTCTTGAAAATTAATTTACATTCTTGCTACGGAATTTTGCCCTTTCGTTCTAGTCACTGAACTTCACGTTAAGGTTGCCATCGAAATCACTCGATCATGTTTCAGTTGCGCAATGAGTTTTTTTTTTTTCGTCTCTGTAAAGGAATTTGATGTCGTATCCGTCGTATATTCCGGGTTTCGTAGGAAGTGTTCTTTCATGAAAGAACAGTTTGCTTGATTCTTCGATTATTTTTTCTCTAGACGAAAAAGATAGGGACACTGGACGGACAAGGAGATCACAGTGCGCCGATGTTCGACGAGAGATCGTTAACGTCGCAATTATCTGTGGCGCCTGAAGAAACAAATCCGTCCGACTCCCCTGAGAAGGAAGGAGGTTTGCGTCATCGAAAAGGAGAGCTCGAGTCCGGCGACGCGAACGAAAAATCGACGGACGAAAAACCGCTTACAATGTCGGGAAAAGACCCTTTGAAATGGTTTGGCGTGCTTGTCGATGCGAATTTGCGAAGGAGCCAGAAGAATTTTAAGTCCGCCGTCGCACGTTGCGTGCATTTAGTGAATTTGCAGGCTGAGCTTGTGAGAGTCGTCGACGAATTCCGGCGTTTGAGAGCCTCATCGAAGGAAGCTTCCGCCGAAGAATAACGTGTCACAGATTCTCAGTTTTTCTGCTGTTCAAACAAAGTGATGAGTTATTGCTTGTAAGAAGCCGCGATTAATGTCGTGGTGTGATTGTAGTGCATTCCAAGTAGGGTTAGCGCAAATTTTAATTTTTTTGAATAAAGTACTCGCGAAAATATTCATCTGGTATCCTTCCACCGCCGGTGACGTAATTTTCAGTGTTTACTATATTTTTTTCGGCACAGAGCGAAAGAAAACAGATTTTAAATAATGTTAACTTTAATTTACGAGAATTACCTCGCTTCTGATACGCCGTGTGATGTGGACTCGTCTCAAGAGCATCCGTTCATTTTTAACGGGTCGTTCTGGTAAAATCAAAGCCATGTGTGTGGAATCATTTGATTGGCCTTTGGTTGTTGTGTTCGGCGCCACTGGTGTCGGGAAGTCGAAACTTGGTGTACGACTGGCCGCCAAGTTCAACGGCGAAGTAATTTCTGCGGATTCTATGCAAGTTAGTTGAAGCTTGTCTTCTCTCTCTCTCTCTCTCTCTCTCAAAATACAGTAATTTCCATTTCTTTTTTTTTCTTCAGATTTACAAGAACCTTGATATTTTGACGAACAAAATAAAAGACGAGGAAGCATGTGGAATTCCGCATCACTTGATGAATTTGCTGGAGCCATGGGAAGAGTATAAGGTTGGCGACTTCAAATCGGATGCCTTGGAAGTGATCTCCAAGATAGTATCTAAAGGAAAGATCCCGATTGTCGTTGGTGGGACCAATTACTACATAGAAGCGTTGTTGTGGAATGTTCTGATTGAGCGAGAAGTACTCAACTCGGAAGTTGAAACGGCTCGGGCTAATGTTGGTGTAAACTTGGAGGAAGAATCGTTACTTCTTATTCCTACGAATGAGGCTTTTGCACTCCTGGAACGGGTGGATCCCATCTCGGCTGGTACACTTCATCCCAACAACAGAAGGAAAATTTTGCGAGCCTTACAGGTGTTATGGCAAACTGGGAGATGCTTGAGTTCAGTACATGAGGTGAAAAAATTATTTTTCTTTTTCGTCTTCAGCGATTATCATGGTGAAATGTTCTATCATTATACCAGGAACAGCATTCGCATCCCGGTGGATCATCCCTCGGAGGTCCTCTCCGATTTCCGAATGCAATTATGTTTTGGCTTCATGCTGATCAAAACGTTTTGGACGATCGAATTGTGGAAAGAACTGGACAGATGCTGTCCGAAGGACTCGTCGAAGAACTGCAAAAATTTCATGATGGCTTTACGAATGAAATGTTGCGAACTGGAAAAAAGCTAGATTATACGCGAGGCATTTATCAATCCATTGGTCTGAGGAATTTCCACGAATTCCTCATGATCCCAAAAGAAAATCGTGGATCAAACAACAGTCAGTTATTGTATGCAAGAGCCGTAGAGGATCTGAAAATTTCTACGAAAAGATACGCTCGGTAAGTGTTCTTGGCCATGGAAAATATGACAAAGACGACTGCAGTCTTCAAGATTTTAATTTTAACTTTTTTATTTATTGAATTGTTTGTCTTAGGAAACAAAAAAAGTGGATTCTTAATCGGTTTTTACGGAATCCGGAACGCCAGGCCATGCGATTATTTGGCCTCGACGCCTCTAATCTGGATTTGTGGGACGTGAATGTTGAGCGTCGGGCTTCGGATATTCTTTCCATGGCATTAAAATCGGAACCTATTCCTTACCCGGTATTGAAAATCGAAGATATCGCCTCAGGAAGCGAAAAAACGCGGCTTGAGCGTGTCCCTACGAAAACGAAGCGTGTTTGTGTTGAGTGCGATCGCGTGTTTGTCGGTGACGTTGCGTGGACTGCACATATGAAATCCAGAAAACACATGAAAACGGCCAATAAGCGTAAACGAAAAGCGGAATCGCAGATCGACGCTGAAGTGACCGATAAGCGCGTTAGTGTTACCATCTCCTGAGGAATTCGTAAAACGGCGATTGCGTTTCTGTAATATTTTTTTATTCGTTCCTGTTCCCGTAAGATTTAATCGTTCGACTTCTCCATGATTCCAGAAAGCTGAGGACGCAAAAATAGTGAGCGTCGCTTTTAGCTATTTCCGGCGTTTCGATCGAGACTTGGAATTGTGCATTGCCAGTAAGCTATGGCAGAATATTTAGCATCCATTTTCGGAACTGAAAAGGATAAGTAAGTTATTATTCTTGGATCACTCTAGAAAGAAACTTAATGATTCGTTTGTGCAGGGTCAACTGTTCATTTTACTTCAAAATCGGAGCTTGTCGACATGGGGAGCGGTGTTCAAGAATCCACAATAAGCCCACGTTCAGTCAGGTATGATGAAAATTCCAATTCCAGTTGATCCTTGATCTTGAATAAATTTCAATTTCCTTTTTTTTTTGACAGACTATCTTGCTACAGAATTTATACGTGAACCCTCAAAATTCGGCCAAGTCTGCAGATGGTTCGTTATACGATGTTCTAATCAACTAGTACCTCAGTATTCATTGAATCTTTCAAATTGTTTTGTTCAGTTATGTCGAATATTTCTGAAGAGGCGGTGCAGGAGCACTACGATAATTTCTTCGAGGATGTGTTCGTCGAATGCGAAGACAAGGTTAGATTTTTGCTCCTCAGCCAAGCTTTTCTGTATTTGATACTAATATGCTGAAATATTTTCAGTATGGTGAAATTGAAGAGATGAATGTGTGCGACAATTTGGGAGATCATCTCGTCGGAAACGTGTACATCAAGGTGTGTACTTCAGATTTAGGGTCTCGTGAATATAAATTCAGTTGAAATCTTCCCGTTACAGTTCCGCCGGGAGGAAGACGCAGAAAAGGCAGTTAACGAACTGAACAATCGCTGGTTTGGCGGACGGCCGATTTACGCTGAGCTGAGTCCTGTTACGGATTTCAGGGAAGCTTGTTGTCGACAGTATGAATTGGGGTTAGTTTGTTGTCAGAGAGCCACGTGTTCCATGTCCCTCGCTTCGTTTTTTGTATTTTTTCCGAATGTTCAGTTTAAATTTCTGGTATTAATATTTTGCACGTTAGTTTTGGGAGAACCTTGAGCATTCCTCTAAGTTGGCGGTATTCTCTGGGCTATCACCTTCGAAAATATTCGGTTTTTTCAAAGCTTGTTTACATTTGTATCGCGCCTTTTTCCTCGAACCCGCGACCTTCGTGTCTTTCGTAGTACATGGGTGCCTTTATTCCTTACATTTCGTAAAATTTAACTTGGTTTCATTTTTATTGGACTGAATGCTTGTTCAGGTTAGGGATCCGAGCGACACCAGTCTGAAAGTCTTGAAAACGTGCTTGGTGAAGGAACCGTTTTGTGAAATTTTGACCGTTAAGATGCGCTTGATTTTGTGGTATGTAGTGGTCCGAGTCCTTGCTTACTCTTCTTGAAAAATATCTTGTACTTATACGTTTCAGTTGACGAATGTGTTACGTAAATCTGAATTTGCGACACAAATGAATTTGTTAAGAAATTCTTGTTTTTACTTATTTTCCATTCCGTAGCGAATGTACCCGCGGAGGATTTTGCAATTTTATGCACTTAAAGCCGATCTCAAGAGAACTACGACGAGAATTGTATGGCAGACGTCGCAAAAGGAGGTGAGTTCGTGCTTCGCGTTGTACCGAAGTGATGAAAATGCAGTGTTCAGGAAGTTACTGCGCGATGCACAGGGTTCTTGTCAATTTGATGCAAAATCACGACTACAAATTACGGTTTTTCCTCCATTTTTTCAACAGCCGTTCAAAATCAAAAGATCGTCACAAGCGCTCCAAATCTCGCGAACGGCACTCGAATAAGGAAAGGAGGCGTTCTCGCGAGAGACGCTACTGAGGGAGTTGGATTTTTCCAAGTTCAAAATTTTCCATTGCCGTTATCTCGACTTGATGTGAATTTTGATCATCTGCCGTCGCTTTCGGAACGAGGGTCAACAGCTTTTTTTTTCCTCAGCTGAACTTGGTTAAACTGGTTGATGTTTTGTTTCTGGACAATTAAATGCTTGTGTACTCATGTAAAGAGTGGTATTCGACGCCAGAGTGACGATAGTCCGAGAAATTTCTTTCTTTGTGTCCATCGCTGATCATTGTGAAATTTTTCATGTCTAAATTTTTTCTCTGTACCTCGCCGTTTGAACCGAGTAAAGACTTTTGGCTATGCGAAGAAAATTCGTTTGTTGTTCGTGTGTTCGTGTTTTTTTATCCTTGAAAATTTTGTCTTCTTGTGCTGACGGAAAGTTCCTTGCTCAATTATCGATGTGTATTTTATTTTCCTCGAGAAATTTTGCAGGGAATGCAACCATGACTCTCCAGTTGGATCGACGACGTCCCGGTGGAACTATGTCATCTACGATTCACGTGGAAGTACTGTACTTTACAGTATAATAGAGTAAATCTCATGCAATATCACTGTAGTTACCAGGCTGACGCATAAAACATCACTGAATCGAATGAAACAGTAAATTACCGTAGTTTTATGGACCTTTCTGTGTTCCAGATGGAAATAGGCGGTGGACTAGATTACATTTGTGGAACTAGCACGACATTCGTGCTGAGAGCGTATGTCGGCGAACCTTCGCTAGTAGAATCAGCAGTGCATTCCTGAGTCCTTTTACGCATACTGCATACAGTAGCGAACGCATTACAGTACTGTAATACGAGAAAGTTCCCGTGAGTAACTACATAATAGTAGTACAGGACGAAAAGTCAAAGAACGCAACAGCAGTTCCACTGTTCGAAACAACGTCCTGCACTAGCTGCGTCAGAATCGTTATGGATGCCTGCAGTTCCAATGCCCATTGGTGTGATTTCGGCAGTACTGTATTTGCCGAAATAGGTGTAACCTAGAAAATGTGGGAAATGGTCAGAGGTGGTGAACGTGCATATTTTCGCAATATTATGGTAAGCTATTAACAAATTGATTTTCAGAATACAGTAAGTCGATGTGAGTTTGATGTTCGCGTGTTTTGCGAACTGAGTGTCACGGCATGTTAACAACCGGAAGGCGAGGAGCGAAAGGTGAGATGAATTGTTGAATCTGCAGATATTTTTTCGAATTCTGATTTTGATTAACCTTTAGATTGAATTGGTGTTGGGTATTTTATTCTGGGGTATTGCTGCTTGTATCATGTTGCAGCTTCTCGAACGCCTTCACTTATTAATCTATGTCGGCTTCGGGATCGCTTGGGTGGGTCTGAATCCGGTGCACTGTATTTAAAAGACATCATCGAGCACCCGATGAGCGCACCTGTGGTGAAGGTCAGTTCCGTAGAAAGTTTTTGCCTGTTACTTGAATGGGATTTATCTTCCCAGGTCGAGCCCGTTTTTGTGACAAACCGACTAATACATGATGTTCAAATTTTTTCTAGGTTCGAGATAGAGTTGAAGCAAAGTTAGCGAAGGCTATTTCGAAACCAGTCATTGACAGCTGTAAATGCATCAGTGAGGAAGTTGTAGACTTGTGCAAATTCAAGTCTTGTGCGGAAGCGACGCAGTTATCCAATTTTTTGCAAGAATTGCACTTCAGTACCATTCTCCGAGTGCATGACATCATTGCAAAGAAAAAATTCGAGGCCGGGATTTCGACGGAAACAGATGAAGAGAAGCTCAATCTAGATATAGTTGAAGCAGCTGAAAAACTCTCCAAAGCTTCGACTGAAGACTCCGGTGTTAATTCAAGACCGTCATCGCGATCAGGAAGTGACGGAGATATGGAAGAGGAAGGTGTTACCATACGCATGGTCGGGTTAAGAAAATCACCGTACGAACCTCTGGTAACGTTATTTGTTCGAGGTACTGAAGCATGTTTTGAAACGTTGGAGAACTGTTTTTTTTTTCAAAGGGAGTGACAGTTCGTTCCGAGGATGGGAACTTGTATGTTGCACGCATCCTAGGAGGCGGTGTTATTGACCGTCAGGGATTGTTGAACGTCGGTGATGTCATCAGAGAGGTCAACGGTGTTGAAGTTTCAACTCCGGAGGACCTTGCCGAAGTGATCAAAACTACAGGTGACACGATCAACATGAGAGTGGAGGCAAACTTCCTTGAAAACGGAGGTGGTCCTCAGGTAGGAGGTGGATACGAATCAATGCATGCCGTGGTGAGTAGTTGTAGAGTTTGAGTTGCCGTTTGTTGCAAGCTCCGCATTATTGTGCGCGGATCGTAGTAATGTCCATGGGTATGATTTCGTACGTGCGCACGTTTTCAGTTGTTTGGAACGCGGAATGAGTGGCAAACTTCGGGTTTTGAAGTCTGTTTCTTATCTCTTCTTTAGTGTTATATGAGAGCACTTTTCAATTACAATCCTGAGGAGGATACACTCCTTCCCTGTCCCGAGATCGGACTTGCCTTTCACCAAGGTGATGTGCTTGAAATCGTGGACCAAAGTGATCTCAATTGGTGGCAAGCCCGCATCGTGGGTATCGGAGGTATTGGCGGCCCGAAAGGGCCAGCGGGCCTCATTCCATCGCAGGTACAGAAGAATTTGAATGCCCTCATTCGTGAGTAGTTGATGAAGCCTTGCACGATTGTCCAGGATTTAGAGGAACGAAGGAAAGCGTTTGTAAAGCCTGAGTTCGACTACGTTCACAAAACCGGCTTATGTGGAACAAAAATTTCGAAGAAAAAGAAGAGACAAATGTATCAAACGAAAGCGTATTCTGATTTCGAGAAAGCGGAACTTCTGATGTACGAGGAAGTTGTTCGGAGCCCACCATTTCAGCGGAAGACGTTGGTTTTGATCGGAGCCGCAGGAGTCGGACGCAGAACGCTCAAAAATAAACTCATTGCCTCTGATCCTACCAAATTTGGCGCTGTTATACCGTGTAAGTATTTTTTAACGCTTATTTATATGTCTGTGAAAATTTATTCGGACATATTTCGCGACATACAGTTACTTCCCGCCCAATACGACCCGGTGAGGAAGATGGGAAAAACTATCAGTTCGCCTCACTGGCTGAAGTTGAGAAGGACATCACCAACCACAAGTACCTCGAGTATGGTGAACATGATGGTCACATATACGGCACAAAGTTGGATTCCATACGTTCTGTAATCCGCTCTGGGCGAATGTGTATCTTGGATTGTTCACCTGCCGCTGTCAAGATTCTTCATAATTCGCCCGAGTTTCGTCCTTTCGTGGTTTTCGTTGCTGCACCTGGTGTCGAGCAACTTCGTTTCATGAACGAATACGGACGGGTTATGGCCGGCCAGTCCCAGCGTACCCTGACGGTACTGCTTTTCATTCGCCTTTTTTAAAGATAAATTTGATTTGCGTCCACTCGAAGGGGGACATTTGTTTGAACATTTTATATATTACTGTATTACTTTACTGTGTGTAGATTTTAGGGCCGCATTAATGAATCGGTAAAGTAATTCATTGAAGCAGTGCCCCTTGGCATTGCGTCTTCTTTAAAAAAAAAAGTTCATCGAGACTATCTATGCTCCAACACGTATTTGTTTTTCTAACTGACATATCGGCTATTATTCGACATCTAGCAGATTATGATACAGGGCGAACATCTGCTTTTATTTCATTCTCGCTGTAGGAAGAATGCAGGTTTAAATTTGGTTAGGATCATAGGATGTACTGCGTTGGAATTTCTGCTACCTCAGATTAGTTTCGATCAATTACGTTTGATCAAGTTTTTTAAAGTTTGGTCCGATTTTCAATTAAGGTGTAGAAATTATAAAAGCCGGTTTAGTACGGGACGTGCCACTGTATCCTGTATTGAGAATACAAGGCCAAACAATGAAAGTGGGAAAGCTTCAATTTTCAGTTCGTTCTCGTTTTCCAATTGTGTTTTCATTGAAGTTACTGCTGTGTTTTGTATAGTGAATGTAACTCTAATTCTGGAATGTGTCCGAGGAAATTTCCAGAAATAGGTTTTTCATTTCATCCATGTACATATTCCGCTGAAAATTGCATAGCAAACGATCGTCGTTCTCATAAAAAGTGTTGAAATGACAACGATTATTTTTGGGGATTTCCCACGTAGATGGACCGAGCGCTCCGTTACTCCAGTCGTCGTGCGAGGACCATGGAATCCCTGGCGTCATTTATTGAAGATGAAGACCTCCGTCGAACCATGGAAGAGAGTGCCCGTCTGCAGCGTGCTTACGATAAGTACATTGATATCGTAGTCGTCAACGAGGACTTCGACCTCACTTTTCAGAAGCTTCTTGACGCGCTAGAGACCTTGAGCACTGAGTCTCAGTGGGTACCTGTCCAATGGATTTATTGAGCGACGTAATGAGTAAGCGAGAGGCGCTTGTTTTATTGGATTTACGTTGTGTCTGAATATTTCACGAGCTATCCGTGTGACACGTTATATAAGGTGCAAACAAATGCATGCTGAGAATTTTAAATGTGTAACGCTGGCTCTGAATTTTTTGGTCCAATGTTTTTCTGTAAAATGCGTGCCGGAAAATTGTTGACAGATCTTCGGATTTGGATTGCTACCTTTTTTTTTTCGAAGCGGGCGGAGTCTCATACCCTAAAAGTGATTCATAAATTTAGCCGTCCCCGATGTGTCCCTGAGTGTGGCAACGTTGTTCAGCAAAGACATTCCCGATTTCTACAAACCGCTCATCGTATATAGAAATGTTTGACGCCGCGCATTCACTGCGCATTCATGCTTGTCCTTCCGTTTAACTCGCTACTGTGTTCGGGCGAATCGTTGCTCCGTTTTTAAAATCGAAAGTCGTTTGCCGTACCGGAAATTTTTTCTTTGTTGGCATTCGTTTTTATGTTTGTTTCTTATCAATGGACGAAGAATTCACGTAGTTGTTTACGCGGATCGAAAGATTCGCGTAGTGTATTCACCCGGATGGTGTATAGGTGTTTATTCATGGAAACCACGGGAAATTTCATTACTTTTCCACATGGATTTATATATGAAAGACGTGCATACCACAAAACCAAAACCTTATGCTTACTGAACAGAACATGGTTCAAGAGCATTTTTCGACGCGAAGGGTCGGAATTTTCACTTATATTGGTCGACAGAAGAAAATATATACTTGAGTGACATTTGATATTCTTTTCTGCGCTTTACGTTGTGAATAGCCGTTACCGTGATGAATATTATCATTTGGATATAGGCTAAAATTGTGTTGACTGTGGTTTGCTAGACCTGGGATGTTTCGAAAAAAAAAGCCACCTCCCACGGAGCCCCGTCGAGCTCCACCTATTCCGGTCAGTAGGTCGAATTGCTTTTATTGACGTATCAAGTCATTTATTTTATTCTCCAGTTTCCGATGATCGGAGAGAAGATGGAAGGAGACGCAATGGATCATCTTGATATAGATGATGCTGATTTGGAAGACGAGCTGATGGACTTATTAGGCGGCGATGGAGGGTCTGGATCCCGTCCTGTTGCGAAAAAGCGGGCTCAAGCATCAGGTGAGACATATGAAAATGAATTCGTCGAGAATTGGGATTATATTTTGCTAGATGTCCTCCGAAAGCATGATTGTTCATGTGTACGGTAAAATACGATCGCTGCGTGGTTATTGTATAAGCATTGTTTCGGGTAGGTTAGGTTTGTTATGACCGGGGGTTTCGCTTAGTTGTTAGTTTTGTAACTTGCTTACCGTATTGAGCTAGTTGAGTTATAAATTGATGACGAATGTATTTGAAAGGGATCATAACATGCCTATAACTGTTCAACAATGTTCTGATTTTATTATTCAGTCCCGTCCAATCGTGCTGCTGCTGCATTTCCGAAAGTCAAGCAGCAGGCACCAGTTAAAGTGGACTCGTATGCATCTGGAGATGAAGGTAGTGACGTCAACGAAGACGAAATTGATGAGCTCGAGGTGAGTACGATTATGTAATGTACCAGTGTTTTGACATTAAAAACGTTGCCTTCGACAGGATGAATTAAAGGGCGTGCTGGGACACCATGACCAGAAATCGACTTCCAGTTTCGAATCATCTTCCGCTTTGATGAGCGAAGACGAAGCTAGACCTCCGCCTTCGGGTTCTATTTCCATTCTAGAGTTGAAGTCAAGACTAAATGCTTACGTTGATGGCGAAAAAACTGTAAAAAGTGCCGGCGATCTTGCAAAAGCCCGCCGGTATGATGGTTCTTGGTCACCCATCTAGTAAGAACTGATTTTTTTTAATTTTACGTTTTTTTCGATCCAGGTATGGTCGGGCCATAAAAACTCTTCACGACATGATCAAAGATGTATCAAAGGGGAAAGCAGTCAATGAAGAGGATGTCCCACCAATGATAGCTGTAAATTCCTCGTCGAAAACTGGCCTTCTCGAAAGTTCAGCACAGAGGCCCGTAACTGACGTGCCAAAGAAGGATTGTGAGTTGAAAGTGTTGCGCTTAGTACTGTATCTGGTGTTACAATTTTGGAAAATTGTTCACTGAAAATTTAAAATTTTGTGAATTCATAGTACTGTATAAAAATACGTTATCAAATAAAGTACTGTAAATATCCATTTAATTGGGTACGTTTCCATTTAACCTTCGAACAAATTTCTGAACGCAAAGGTCAGAGCTTGAGTTATTTTGATGTGGTTCTGTGCGTATATTATTTTTTCTTGGTTTCAAATCATTGAGCTGAATTGATTTGAATTCACGAATGTGTGTAGGTAGTCCAATTCTTCTTTCGCCTCGTCTTAATCACATGTTTTATATTTTCAGGTGATTCGCCCCAGCCGATGTCGAGAACTACGAGCTCTTCTTCCGCTCCGATGCGAGCTGCTCCATTACCACCGAGACGTGCTCCCCCTCCACCTAGTTGTGTTCCTGTTGAACCATCGACTTCAGAAACTCTCCTTGTTGACCTTACCCCTATAACAAAGCAACCAGTTGATTCACCAAAGCCGATTATATCCCCGGATGACGAAATTTCTCGGTTGAAACAGGCCGCTGTTGCCGCGAAGAAAAGTGGTGACAAAGCGAAAGCACTGGAGCTGTTGAAGAAGGCGAAGGAACTGGATGGCAAATTAGAGGATTCAGCGTCTGTAGAACCCTGCGTTGACATTTCAGTGAAGCCAGCGACCACTTCCGTAGTCAAGAAAATCGATGAAAATCCTAATTTAAAAGCTCAAGTCCCGGAATCGACTGCTACTGATGAGCCACCGACTCCCAGTAGTGTTCTCGAGGCTTTGGAGCAACGCTTGGCCAAGTATCTTGCAGTGAAGAGTGATGCCGAAACTGAGGGTAATTCGCGGAAAGCTAGAATGTACGGACGAATTGTTGGACAGTATCAGGAAGCCATTAGAGATCATAAGAAGGGTAGACCTATTCCTGTTGATGAACTACCAACGCCTCCAGGTGATAAGTTTAATTGAATCTTGAAGTTATGGCGGTTTTTTTTAATGTTGAAAATGTTTTTTAGGTTTTCCTCCTATACCAACTGGACCTGTAAAATCAGAAGCTCTTGGAGCGCCAACGTCGTCTAATCAGGGATTGCCAGCAGTACCAAGTGTTGCTGTGGTTAGGGTTGAGAATTCCGACGGAAGCTACGCCACTGTCGAGCCAGTACCTACATCGAATATCTTGAAGGAAGCTAACTGTGAGATATTTCATGTATGATTTATGTTTTACTGTACAGTGAATTTTAGCGTAACTGCACAGTTCTGCAATTTAATATTTTAATTCTTAGCGTATCCTTGAAGTCAGGCACGCAGGTTGCTCTCAGCTCCAGATTATTAATTACGAAGAAATTTACATTGTACAGTGGATTAAAATTTTCTTATAGCAATCTTCCGAGGTCCCGATAAAGAAAATCGTCATAAAAAAAGTTTACCTGTACAGTATATTGAATTCTATAAAATTATATACTGTACTACAGTATCTATGTAATGAGATTCATTATAACTGAATTTTACTATTTTTATATTTTATACCTACTGTATGTGAATTACATTGCATGTGAATTTTTTTCTTCAGTGAAACCGGCACCATCACCGATTTCAAAATCTCCGGCCACATCACGTGGTAAGTTGACCCTCATTCCGAGCTGACATTCGAGTGTGGATTTTATGTGTGCAGTAATAAATTCTCATTTTTACTTCAAGACCCCTCTCCGAGCATACCGGGACAAACCAGAGTATCTCAACAGCTCGCTATCATCAAGCAAAAACAACACGAATACAAGACCGCAGCGTTAGAAGCGAAAAGGCGTGGAGACCTCGCAAAAGCGAAAGAATTCTTAAAGATATCCCGTGGATTTGATCCTATGATTGAATCGTTGGAAGGCGGGCTTCGCGTGGACACCGTGAATGTAACTTTTGAGTCGCATCTTTTCTCAATTTTTTGTACATCACTGCTGTATATTTCATGTTTTGTGTACGCAGATCCCGTCGTTACCGGACTTGAATGAGGATAGGAATGATTTTATTCTGATGGGCAGAGAAGATAGTATCCTGCCATTCAATACAGCGGCATTGGATCAACTTGAAGAAATTCTTACTCGTCAGTTGGCTGTGAGTAACCACTGTATTACTGAAAGACGCTGCTTCAGATTCTGGAATATCATTCCAACAATAAGACGTGTCACCGATTTTCTTGGTATTTCAGATGAGTTCAGAATTCAAGGACTACTTCCACAAGATAGGAGATGTGATCAGTGCGAGTCGTTTTGAAAATAGAGCCGCCATCTGCCGACGTGATCTTCAGAAGCTTGGCAAAATCAAAGGAAGTGGATTTTCTGGTAGTCAAGGCCCAAAAATCATACAGGAAACTAGAAAATTTCTGATTGCAAGGTAGACCTCACATAATAGCATTCTTCGATAAATTTCAATGATCGACAATATTAAATTTTTTAAAATCTAAGATGCAATCCGGATCTTGGGGATGATGACGTAGAAGTTAAAGTTATCAAGGGTTCCAACTACAACTTCACCAGCGTAAAGGATGCGGACACATTTGTCAAGGTTGAATTCCCCAGTTCATCTGTGAGTGGCGTATGCAAAATATTTTTAATGAGATTATCTTGATCAAGTTTGCGTTATAGGAAAGCCCACAACGTGACACTTCAAAAATCGTGAAAGATAACGTGACTCCGGAGTACGCGATGGTATCAAGGTTTTCTATCAACCGTAAAGCTCGAGCAACCCCAAGGATATTTGGGAAAGCCATGAAATTTGAAGTTTGGAAACAAGGGTGAGTTTTGTACAAGGGCTATTATATTAAGTTAGATGTGTATACATGCAGTAAACTCCGGATCATTGAAAGGCCAGAACCCAGAAGGAAAAAATTAGTTCTCTACGATATATATGTAGGAATCTTCGAATAAGCAAGTGGTTTTTGCCAATGGTTTCGTTCTCTCGCATGGGTAGGATACGCTCGATTCGAAAGGAACGCGTTTGCATCAATGAAGACTAGTTTACCCTTAACTTAATGCACAGTATGCAAGCAGTCTATGTGAAAACAGATCTCCACGGAAATCAACACAAGAAAATTCACATAATGCATAACAGACATTTTTTCTCATACACTGGTCGTAGGAGAATGCCGGGTACTCGGGTGCATAACACTAGTAAGATAACATCAATCTCAACAGTGTTTGCACTCCGGGACCTGAAGCACTCCATCATTAAAAACTTGATATTTAGCAATGATTCTGTCGGACGATTGGAATATTGGTAGAGAAATGCAGAACACTAGTAAGACTTCGAATGTGTCTCAATAACGATTGCATCTCTCAATCAACGATTCCAAGAGAACAGCTGCACTCGACTGCTGAAAGGTTAATGATGGTCCGATCCACGGTTGCGCTGCTTTATTTAGCGAGGAAAAGCGATTTCCGCAAGCATTTCTGATCTGTACTTTCCGGTTCCTGGAGAAGGCTTTTGTGCGCTCTAATTCAGCTTAAGCTTACTTCGCGCGTTTAAAATGAAAGGATGAATGAAGTTCCGGCGGAACCTCGGGTATTCTGTGGATAATGGTGTTATGTCTTACCTCCACAGCGGGTGGTTCCGGGGAGACCAATTGTATGGAACTGCCGTCGTTAAGCTGAAACCCCTGGAAACCCAATGCAATTTGCACGACACATATGACGTACGTTAGAATTTTGTTTTTTAAATTTATTCCTGTACTATTTCAAAGTACATCGAATATTCTTCGTATACTCATGCTTATAATGCAGTCTACAATGTTTTCTCCGAAAGGATTACATTTCTAGCCAACTGCTGTAGAGTTTTTTAATTTACATTATTTCAGACATTTGAATTTAGGTAAATAACTTCAAATTGAATTTAAGTGCGTCAACTACATTCATCGGAAATACAAATTGGATGGTTCATCGCATTTTAGGTTCTTCTCTTAGTTGTGTGTCGCTGAAATTCAGTTTTTGATGTTCCTAATATTTTTGGAAAATGTGAACTGTATTGATTGCTGTATTTACGCGAATATAAGCACCCCTTTTTTCCAATTTTATAAGCTCGAGCATACTAATTCAATACGTATGTATATCAGGAAATCTTCCTATTTCCGGCGTGCCAAACGTGCGAGCACTTCATTTCTTTTTAAATTGGAGTTGAAGATAATCCAGGTACGGTATGGTTTTAGCTCTTCAATATGCACGAGTCATTGACTGAAGGGAAATGGGGTTGTGTAGCACAGTTTTTTTTTTCATTACGGGGAAAACTTGAATTTACAGTACTCGAAAATTTTAGGTTCCTGGAAAGCTAGAACATCGGTAAGTGGGTTCTTGTATCAACCTATTTACAGAAGTTGAATTTTTGCATGGAAGATGTCAGGGGGTACGTATATTCGCGTGTCTACGGTATATTTATTCCCATGTTGATAATATAAAGCTTAGAAGAAATATTTTTCATGCCTATAATTGCCGTACACTTGAAACTTCAAATAATCTATAATCTCAGATAAATTCGCTCATTTCCTCTTCTTCGCCAGTTGATGGACGGAAGAAAAGCTGTAGGCGGAAATCTTGAAATCATGATTCGCTTGCGGAATCCAATTTTGAAGAAAGAAACTGAAGAGATGACAAAACGATGGACTATTGTTGACTGGGATTCCGTGGCACAGCGCTGAAAATTGCCTGCTTCGTTTCGGCCGACTGGTTTTTTTTTTGCATCGGTGTGATACGTTTTCGTTTATTAGTGAAGCCTTGGTTCTTGCGCTTGAATCCACCCTTTAGCTTGAATGCAAACAAACGTGATCGGTATATGGTGAAAATATATCCTAGTTCTGCTATTGTGTACATTATGTCGCATAAATATTTATGCTTCTTATGATTAATTTTCTTTGTTGTTTTATCGAGCAGTTGCCGGAAAAAAAATCTCATCGAAGAATACCGTTTAGAAAATCAGTGTTCCATTCGCGTTTTCTGATACTTCCTGTTCAACTTCACCTGAAATCTCGAAAAGGTTTGTGCTGGAATGTATTTTCCATGAAAGAGCAGTTCTTTATATTTTTATTATTTATTTACTTGGTTTACACGTAGGTTTGTTGGGAGGAAAGAAGTTTGGAATTTACTTCCTACAGAGATGGCGGGATATTTCAAGGCTCTGAAAAGTGCCGTTGCGGGCAGCGAAGAAGCCCCGTATGAAGTTATTGGAAAGCATCAGGTTTGCCATTCGTGATGTTTTTCTGATTCAATTCCTGTTATTTATAGTTCTGCTTTTTTTTTTAAAGAATTTTGAGGAACGATCGTATCCGGCAATGAAGTGGGTCTGCACGAAGCGAAAAGCCAAATCTAGGACCGAAGTTCAGAAAGACATGTTTATGACTTTGTTCGCGTACATCAACGGTAAAAATGAACCTAACGCCAAAATCGACATGACTGTTCCAGTTACTGTTCATTATGCTCCGTGCGATGAGGAAAAGCCTGAAACTGCGGCTGAAAATGGGGAAGTTGAAAAGCCGGCGAGTGAAGAAAAGGAAGAATCGAAGGAAGACTCCGGCAAAGCCGAGGATAAATCCAAGAAGGATTCTGGGAAAGAAGGCAAGATGAACGAGTACACGATGGGATTTTATATCCCGAAGGCCTTGCAGGAAAATCCACCAAAGCCTACAGATCCGGAAGTATTCATCGAAGAGAGGCCTTCCATGTCAATTTTGACTAGGTATGTGTCCAATGACATGATTGTTCTACTGCAGTGCTGTCCAACACAGATGTGATCAAGGGCCACATCAACCCTTTTTTGGCAAGGGTCGCATTGCTGAAGTGGAGAATTCTTGCGGGCGAATTAATAATTTTTATAATACAATTAATACCACACTTAATAATTTTTATATCTCTCATATGTCAGATACGTCTTTTATTCTAAGGCCTGTGGGGAATTTGTTCATGAAAAATGTATTCCCAAGTAGCTCCAAACTTGCTTTATTTATGAAAAGTTTAAAATCAATTCAGTTCTATTCACTGTATCACAAACGTAGCCGTGTATAATTTTTTCAAGATTGAATTTTTCAAATTATTATTTTCTATTTGCTGAGGAGTGGATGGTTTCACCTTTAAATTTGTAGGGAAGAGACTGCGGGACGGATGAAGCGTCTCTGCGGGCCAGATCTTGCCCGCAGGCCGAATGTTGGTCAGCACTGCTCCATTGGCTCTTCCTAGTTAAAGGTGGCCTCAGTGCAGTGCCTTTGTATTCGTTTGACCTGTGATGTTGAATTATGCCAATATTTTCAAGCTTTGAAGGTTGGCTAGATTTTGAGGCTTGCTCAGGTCAGTTGATGTGTGCATCAAGGTAAATTATTGTACATGAGATGTTTATTTAGCAGCACTCATGAATTTTTGCGATTAACTGATACAGTGTTGGGATTTTTCGTTTATTTAGGTGTCAATTGTTTTAATTAGGTTGCCTCAGTTTTTGGCCACCATCGTTGCAGTGATGGTACAAGATAAATTTCTAAAAAATAAATAAGGACGTCTTGAACGGAATAGCACGATACCTCTGGTTAATATCGCAACGAATACGCTTTTTCTTATTTCCCAGAACATTTGGGGGATATCCAAAAGATTCTCAATGGGAAAACGAGAAGAATCAGTTGGCAGAGCTCTTGAAGGGTGTTGGAGATTTGAAAATTAACGAAGAGGACTTCTTCACTGCCGGCTACGATCCGCCCTTCAAGCCGTTGTTCCGTCGCAACGAAGTGTGGCTCTTGAAAACCGGCGGAAGTGTCGCAGTTGCTGCTGCCGAGCCCAAGGAGGCTGAGAAAACCACCACCGAGGACGCTGAAGAAAAGAAGCCTGACGAGGGCCAGGAGTAAAAAGAAAAGGCAGCTTTCGCGTGAATAATGCGAGAATCGCATGTGAGCTCTCTTCATACTATGTGCTTTAATGCTAAAAAAAAAAACATGAGAAAAGCCTCCAGCTGGGTAACAGGGTTGCTTGATGTTATCGATGTTGCTTGGTGTTCAGTGCTTTCTTTCCTGCGAGACTCCTGTTCAAACTAAATGGATAACGCAAAATCCAAGTATATGTAATCTGTGCTTCGCTTCCAGACTGTGCTCTTGAAACTTGATGTGTTTTGACAGTCGCTGCCAAACCGAACCCCGCTTATCTTTCTTTTTTTTTCCCTTCCTTGGAATAATTTTACACTGGTTGAACGACATATTTTATTTTTATTTTTGGACATTCGCGGGGAGGTTGTGCGCTGCTGAAAGAAACTTCCGATCTGATAGCTTTGTTTGTGGATCAAAATTTGAAATATTGGTTCGTGAAACTCAGTTGGTGAAACTCAAACTAATTTATTCGCTGTGCGCTCAGAGATCGTTGTCTCGCAATTGATGAGATTTTTGCAGCAAAAGATATTCTCACCTATTCTGTTTCATCTGCGCAAAGGGTATTGAAAAACGGAAGCTTGTGTTTTTTTAACTCTTGCACATCCGTACTGCTTTTTATTCGTGGCGAAATGGTCGTGAAAGTATATCCGCTTGTGGAGAACACACGAAAGCTTTTCCTTCATTTTGTGGTCCATGATGCAAATTTAATTGCTCATTTTATTTTCCTTTCAGAGTTCGGTGAAGAGAAAAACGGGGCGCCGCCCGTGGATGTTAAAGATGATTCACCTCGAACGAATTGTGACGAGTTCCTAATCGGCGCCGTTTTTGTGTAAGATGAAAATTTTTCCCAATTACGTTGACATTGCCAGTGAATTTCCCATGTACCAAACATTCGCGAATGTAGACCAGCATTTGTCAAATATACGTAGAAAAACGCGAATTATCAGAAAAATGAACGATTTCGTTATAGAAGCTATATTGGCTTACATGTGCGTTAGATGCTATTTTATAGGATGATCCGAAGTGTTCCTCAATCAAAATCAATGACTCATCAAATAATGGTAGATTTCCTCACCACTGAGGACAAGATCAAATTATGCTTTGTATTAGACATGAAGGATTTACTTCGCGGAATTAACATTCGGGAAAACGTTAGACGATTTTTTTGTAGGGAGAGGGTAGTTTGAATATTGCCGATGAGTTCAAGTTCTCAAGCAAAACGGTATTCTCAATATTTCTTCAATGAACTACTTTACAATGCTTTCAAGAAGTTATTAGTATTAAAAATCTGTGGTAATTTGGTCCACCCTGCAGGACTGACTTCCTGACCTGTTTTTTGGGATTCGGTTGAGCGTCTTTGATACGCTAGTAACCTTTCTTTCCGTTGTGAAGATTAGGAATTAAGGAGTGAGTTTGAATTGATGGCATTTTGCATTCGATCAATTACAGTAATCATTTTAGGGTCTGAAGTTTCAAGGCTGCAGCATGTGTTGTCAAATTCTTCGGGACGCGGATGTTGAATTCTTATTATTTTTTATTTCCATTTTGGTTCAGTTTTACAAGGCCTGGCCTGGTGTGTGATACAAT